GAGAGTTACATTAAAAACTTACATATAAAATCTCAAATAAATTAATTTATAAATTACATAATTTTTCAAAAAAATCTATTTTATATATTAAGATTTGTAGCCTAATAATGTACATCATTTCTAAAATACTAAATCATATCAAAATTTGTTTATAATCTAACAAAAACCCGCGCTTTTGAAGCGCGGGTCAAAATCTAGTACAATATTATTCCCCCCGGTTTTTTAAATATCACACTTTGACATATTTCACACAAAATTTTTAAAAGTAATTGAAATGTATTTACATTTTTGTTATTTGAGATAAATAAAATTATTTATAAAATTAATGCAGTTTAAAATTAATATTAGGATGAAAATATAATTTGCATTAGAATTTTTTTTTTTATCAAAAAAAAAAAATTCTAATGCAAATTATATTTTCATCCTAATATTGCATTAGAATTCTAAAATGGCATTATTTATGTAATAAGAAAAATGTTCAAAATGATATCTTTTAAGAAACAGAGGAGAGTATAATATTTTAGTCTTTAAAAATAAGAAGAAAAATATTAACGTTCTATATCATGTCTTAGACGTTCTATTTTCTTATAAAATTAATGTACAACAATAAACTTACTTTTTTAAATAATTCCAATACAGGTAATGATTAATGCGTGGGCGATTCAACGAGATAATGCTACATGGGGACCAGATGCAGAGGAATTTAAGCCAGAGAGACATTTAAATTCATCTTTGGATTTTCAAGGACAAGATTATAAATTTATTCCATTTGGATCAGGGAGAAGACTATGTCCTGGAATCAGATTGGCATCGGTATTGGTTGAAGTGACAGTAGCCAACCTTGTGAAACGGTTTGACTGGAGAGTCCAGCCAGGGCCACATGGAGTTGATAAGCCTGATTTAGCCGAGGCAGCTGGTATAGAGGCATGTCGCAAATACCCTCTTATTGTTTTTCCATCTTCTGTTGTGTTCCCTATTTAATTTTTTTTTTTGCAACTCGCTGATCTTTTTCGTTGTTACCCGTCTCTTGACTCTATTGTAAGAGTGCCTTTGCATTTCCGATACTGTTTTCTTTTGTTATCTATGTTGTATCCTTGTTAAACGTAAAACCATTATAACATTTAACATTACAAAAGTATATTTCTGCATTGAACGTTATCAGCATATTTTTGGAACAGTTCTTAAGGGATATTTTGGGGTTTTGCTTGAGTCTTGACAATTAATAAGAGGGCATATTTCGGTTTAAAAATGTGATAGTCAATATCTCACATGTCTCAGTATGCATGTCGCAGTTTGTCTGTTTGTGACATGCACATATGTGTCATTTATTTGTGCATGTCACCATATTACGTACCTTCTTGTTGCTGTTGTCAGAAGTGCCCTCTTTTAGTTGTGGGATGTGGTGCACAAGCCATCATATGCATACATACTATTTTGTTTTTTTTTGTTCTAAGCATACTATTTTTGTTTTAATTAAATTGTATTTTGCATATACTGTACTGTCTTATGTGAGAATTTTGAATTTGTGGTCGGGTGAACAGTACCCCGTGCCTATAAATCTGATAATGAAACATTTCTTACATATTAATGGTAGTGAAATGGAAGCCTTAGAAGTTTTGGGCCAAAACATGGATCTCAAGTCTTTCTTCCTTCTCCTAAACAACTTGGTTCCACTAAACAAACTCTCTTCCTTTCCGCTGATGTCTGTTCCCACCCAAAACCTCCAAAGTTTGTTCGTTTGAAGGCAACTACTACCATGACTCGTGATGATCAAGAAAGCGATCACACGTTTAAGGAACTGCTACCTTCTCCATCGACTGATCAGTTCCACTCTGTTTCTGTCGATGTCTCCGTAAGTAGACATATTCATATATATATATATCTGGTCTACAAGGGCAAATTTTTACGGATGCATATGATCGTACGATTTACTTTTTAACTGACAATCTTCTTAATGAATATGAAGGTTACAGCGACCCCCATGAAAAATTAAAGAGTACAGGAATTCTATGTTCGATCAGATCCGTCTTTGAAAACTTTGGCAAATGTTTTACCTGTCTTTTTTCTTTAATAACCTCATGTGCTTTCAACTTTGTTTTCATTGTCAACCATTTGATCGATCAGATGGCTTTTAAAAAAAATAACACAAAACATTTTGTAAATACACGAATGGTTACAGCCTTACCAAGTCGCAAGATACTGATCCTTACCAGAAATACAATGTTAAGATGAGATTCAAAATACAGGAAAATGAGTTCCAAAATAATTAAAAAAGAGGGATCAAACAAAGATTCCATAAATATCAAGAGGTATAGCAAAGCAGCTCAAAAATGTATTATAATGCCAAATGGAGTGCTTTTCTTGAGTTGTTGAAACGTTTGGGACCTCATGGATTCTCTATTGAAAAACACTCAGTGAGCTAATTTCTTATGATCTTGATTCTTGAGTGTGGAGAAACACTCAAGAAACTAGTCTGAAGTTAATATCCTTGGAGTGTTTCTCCAGACTAGTTTCTTGAGTCTTGATCGATCCACATTGAATGATTATATAAGCATGTTCGTTTTGATAACTCAGAAACTGGCATCAGTGACAGTGGCAATAAATATAGCTACGATCAACCGTCATGTCAATCGCTAAGGATCGGTTCGAGACAGAAAACTGGAATTGCCGCTCTGTTATTTCTAGCGTCAGATGCGAGACTGTTATTATTTGATGTACTGACTGAAAAACAAATGTTCTTTGCCGCAACTGATGTACTGGCCGTGATCATAACTGTTATTTTGAACTATTTCTGTTGCCGCTGGCGTTAATTAAACGACAGACCTATAAATGTTAATCTTGTTTTACTATTCCCTCCCTCCAATAAATATCTCTAGCTCCTTATAAATCCTCACTTTTTTTTTCTTATAAATCCTCAGTTACAGGAATCCCTTTGTTCACACTCCTTTAATGATCCATCACTTGCTATTTACAGATGTTCAATTTTCACAGAAGCTAAAAAACTGAGTTTATCTAGATGAATTATGGTCTCGCGAGTAATTAACTACCGTCCAAATACTTTGGTAACTAGTTAGTTCCTGCAAGGGGCTGGGATTTAATATCTACTATCTGGCATCCGTTCCGAAAAATGGATATCCGAGTGGTCCGGATCCAGATCCGGATAGTGATTTTATGGATCCGGAGAATCCGGATTCGAATCCAGATAATGAAATTTTTAGTCCAGATATCCGGATCTGGATTCGGGCCCACTAAATATTTTTAAAATATTTATTATATAATTATATTTATAGAGATATAGTATACATATATTATTTAAAATAACAAAAACTCAATTTTATTATTAAATTATACTATTTTATTTTAAAATTGTGCAAAATAATAGTTTTTAATAGAATAAATAAATACTTAATTTTTAATTTTTAATTTAATTTTGATTTAAAAAATGGATTTTGATATCCGTGGGATTCGAGTTTTAGTACGGATATCCGAACTCTGGATATCTAGAAGGCCTAAATCCAGATCCAGATTCGGATATCTCAAAATACTCTAGATCCAATCCGTCTCACTCCTAATACTGGCACTGCTATCTCTTTTGAGGTTGTCGTGTCATCATGTGTGTTAGTCGGTACAATATCTCATTTTATAGAATATGAAGTCCACAACACTTGGCTAATTATATAGTAGATTAACATATTTTCAAGATCGTGTTTCAACCCAAAGTTCAATAGCACTCCTCAGTAAGATTGATAAGAAATGAGATTTTTTCTTACTTGAATCATGTATATAACTTGTATTCGATAATGCCAAGTTCAGTAGTACTCCACTACTCCTCAATAAGATTGATAAAACCATTTAGTGAATGATTTGGATTAACGAAAATAAAAAAAAAAAACTACTAAATTCGTTTCTACACACATATACATATAAGAAATTTCCTAGGATAAATCTAAAAAAAAATTTATCATAAATATAGATTTTAAAAATAAAAATGATCAAAATAAACTTAAATGTTTTATCAAAAATAAGTAAATATACATTTATACCATTTCGGTTAATTAATCCTAAATCTTTTGTAGAGTTTAGGACTGAGATTTGGAGATAAATTTTCAAATTTAAAAAAAATAAAATTATTATTTTGATTATTTTAATTTTTGAAATTTATTTTTACGATAAAAAATTAAATAGAACTATTTGAGAGAATTACCCTATACATATTTTTAGTATAAGGCCCTTGGGCCACTAATTTGAACAGAGAAGAACAATCATTTTTTGTTATGCGGACGAAGCCCATTTGAATACAAAAGAAATAATAAATAAATAAAATAAGAAAGACAACCAATCAAATTCTCACACGTCCCCAAAATGAATGTGGGCCCAACGTGGTGCAGCTAAGTCAGAGTAAGCACTTAAACCGGAGACTCATCGACCAAAAGTTTCAGGAAATCGAAAGAAGAAGACGATGCCTGTGAGTGCGATGATGGTGGGGGCTTTGCTGGGTCTCGGTACCCAGATGTACTCCAACGCTCTCCGCAAGCTCCCTTACATGCGCCGTAAGTCCACGAAAACAACAACAACCCTAATTGATCAAAAAAAGTGATTAGGGTTTCCTCACCCCCTTCTCGCGCCGACGGCGCAGGCCTCACGCCACCGTCGAAAAATTCTCATCTCCTTCCTTCTTCTAAAACTATGTTACCTCTTCCCTTCGTGACTGACTGCAAGAAGAATAAGGGTTTCCCTTACCTTTTCTCGCCTTCGTCAAAGTTTGGTCGGGTTTTGGTCAGATCCACTTTCTCTGGTCGCAATAATGTAAACCGGAGTTCTGCCAAGCTCGATTCGTCTCATGGGGATGTTCAATCCTCTGTTACTAAGGAATCGGTGGAATCCACGGATACCACTGTACCAAATCCGCTTTCCTCTCCGACAGCAAGCCCTTTTCAGGTCGTTGACGGTGTTATCTCTCAAGTTGCTGTTGCAGGTCCCTCCTCCAGCACAGACTCGCCAGACCAGTCTAAGATTGTATCAGACATGCCCCAGAATGGTTCTGTACCTCCACGGAATCTGGCTGCTTTGATTCAGGCTTCTGCGAAACTGGAAGAGTTAGGAACCCCTACTCAACATATCTCGGGTGCTCCCTTTGTGCTAATTCCAGATGAAAATCTAGATGCTGCCAGAGAGGAATTCAAGGATTTCATCTATGCAAAGTTTCATAACGAAGCTCCTGCTATGGGAAGAGTTATCGGTGTAGTTAACGCAATCTGGGCTCGCTCTGGTCCTAGAATATTTGTTCACCGAATTGGGAAAGATACTTATTTGCTCAAAGTAAGTGCCCCTCGCACGAGGGATATTCTTCTGAGTAGAAATGTTTGGATGATTGCTGGATGTCCTATGTACGTTGCTCCATGGTCACCCGAATTCTCCCCTGAAGAGCCTGAGGTCACCTCTGCTGTGGTTCCTGTTGAGTTTAGAGGGATTCCTTATTTGCTTTTTAATAAGCAAAGTCTCAGTAGAATCGCAACAGCGGTGGGAAAGCCGGTCTCTCTCGCTCCTGAAACGGAAAGAAAAGAAAATTTTGAAGTTGCGAAGATTTGGGTTAAAGTGAATCTTTTGGCTGAACTTCCAAGGCGAGTGGTCTCTGGGTTTTCAAATGGGCGTGAATCCGATATCACAATCACTTACCCCTGGCTTCCTGCAAATTGTGTGCGTTGTAAGAAGTATGGCCACGACACAATGCTCTGTCCTGCAGCTCCAGCTGGTAATGGTCGATCACATGATTATGTTATAGAGAGATCCAAGAGTTTGGTTACAGCAAAGAGGTCACGTTCCCGGCCCGGACGCAATATGAGACGGAGAAGAAGGGAGCATGTCTCGCTCCCTGATGTAGACCTGCCGGAGAAGGATCAAAAGGTTGGGTCTGATAAACAATTAAGCTCTGAGCCTCCTCCGGAGGACTCTATCACAGATGCTGATTCTCCTGAGGATTTACGCTGAGTCCCAGTTCCTCCTGATGATCCCCCTGATGATCCCTTGGAAGAAACAAAAATTCTTAATGGTGGAGGAATGCAGGATACGCTTGATGAAATAGCTTGTCTTCCTAAATCAACCTCTGAGGAGTTCGTCTCAGCTTCTATCAAGTCAAGCTTAGTGACAAGGTCACCGCCAATGAAACAAGTTATCAATCTTGACACAAAACTTGGTTCATCTGCGGTTATTGTTGTTCATGAAGAGGATTGCTCAGTATCAGAATCTACGGGTGGAGACAATGAGCAGTCCGAGCGTCCTTTTCTTCTGGTCTCCAACCGGAAGGGTAGCCGTAAGGCTGCAAAAGCTTAATCAAATATGTCGATGTTTTTTGCGTGGAATGTCAGAGGGCTTAACATGAGTAGACGCCACACCATGGTCAAAGAGTGGATTAGTAACCACAGGCCTCTTTTTGGAGCGTATTTAGAAACACACATACAACCCAACAACTCAACTCGGATATCTTATGCTCTTCCAATTGGATGGAAGTTTTTTGCAAACTGGGACCACCATGCTACTGCCCGTATCATCGTAGTATGGCATCCTAGTGTTACTGTAACGGTGTATCATGCATCGGCGCAGGCTGTCACATGTGGTATATTTATCCTCTCGGAGAATACAACTTTCACAGTTACTTTCGTCTATGGTTTCAATCTTGCTAGTGAGAGGTCGGAACTTTGGGAACACTTAAATCATCTTAACGCCTCAACTCCAGTTTCGAGATGTCCTTGGGCTCTAATTGGTGACTTTAATCAGATTCTGCGATCTTCTCAACATTCTAGTCATCTTGATCTGGATGTGGATATCGCAGGTATGGAGGATTTCAACTTAGCCCTGTAGGATGCTGAGTTGTTTGAGGCTACTACTAAAGGTCTTGCGTATACATGGAGAAATAATCAGGATGATCAGCCGGTTTCAAAGAGAATAGACCATCTCCTCTTTAACCAGCACTGGGCGGACAAATTTCCTGATTCTTTCTGTGAATTCCTTGACCCACTGCAATCAGATCATACGCCAGGATTGGTCTCCATGCCGTCCATACAGAGGAAGGTGGTAAAACCTTTCAAATTTTTCCACCACACCATCGATCATCCTCAGTTTCTATCTCAAGTTAGTGAAGCATGGAATTGTGACAGCATACAAGGGTCTCTTCAATTCAAGCTAATGCGATCTCTAAAGCTGCTAAAGCCGGTGTTGAGGAAGCTGAATAGAATGCATTATAGTGGCATCTCCCTCAGGGTTAAAGATCAGACAGCAAAGCTAACTGTGCTTCAACGAGAACTTCTAACAAACCCGAATCCTGCTACAGCTAGGTTGGAGCATGAGGAGAGAGCAAAATGGCAGACGCTTATTGTAGCAGAAGAAAAATTCTATCGTCAGAAATCTCGAGTCCAATGGCATCATTTGGGAGATAGAGACACTCCTTTTTACCACAAATCTGTTGCTCAACGAGCCCACCGCAATCATATTCACTTCTTAAAATCTGACACTGATGTGGTTATTGGATCAGTCGAGGCTATAAAGGCGCACACTGTCAATTATTTCACAAGTATCTTGGGTGCAACAAGCTTACCGGCTTCACCTTGTTTGGTGGAACAGCTACAGGACCTCCTTCCTTTTAGATGCTCTGAGTTGCAATGTCGGTACTTACAGCGTGAGGTGGGTGCGGTGGAGATAAAGAATACATTGTTTTCTATGCCGCTGGATAAAAGCCCAGGACCGGATGGGTACTCGGTTGAATTCTTCAGATCAACTTGGAGTATCACTGGAGCGGATCTTATCGCAGCTGTTCGCGAGTTTTTCAGAAATGGGAGGCTGCTAAAGGATCTTAATACTACTTCCATTGCGTTGATCCCCAAACAACCTGAAGCTTGCAAGCTCACAGATTTCCGCCCAATCAGTTGCTGCAACACTGTGTATAAACTCATCTCTAAGATCATTGCCAACAGATTGAAGCCGATTCTCAAGGAATGCATCAGTCCCAACCAAGCAGCTTTTCTGAAAGGAAGAAGCCTAGGGGAGAATGTTCTCCTTTCTTCGGAATTGATCAGAAATTACAACAAAGCCTCATGTCCTAAAAGCTCAATGGTGAAAGTAGACATCCGCAAAGCTTTTGATACTGTATGTTGGGACTTTGTCTACAAACTCTTGGAGGCCCAAGGGTTCCCTCCTCTCTTCAGAGTTTGGATCAAGGAATGTATCTCCTCCCCGCGTTTTTCAGTTGCGATAAACGGTGAACTAGCGGGTTTCTTTCCGGGTAAAAAAGGCATACGGCAAGGGGACTCAATCTCTCCCTATTTGTTTATAATGGTGATGGAAGTTCTCTCGAAGAAGTTAGAGAAAGCGGCTGATATGGGAAATCTAAGACTTCATCCGAAATGCTCAGACCCAAGGCTCACGCACCTGCTATTTGCTGATGATCTCTTGGTTTTTTCGGATGGCTCCAGACATTCTTTGACTGGCATTACAACAACAATGGAAGAGTTCAGGCAGATTAGTGGCCTGGAAATGAATGCAGCAAAGCCTGAGTTGTTTTTTGGAGGATATTCTGATTTACAAGCTTCTGTGTTGAGTGGCCTATCAGGGATTAAGATTGGTGACTTCCCAACCCGTTATTTGGGACTGCCACTTAACCTAGCTCGGATCACAATGGCCACATTACAACCTTTCTTTGAGAAGATTACTTGTAAGCTTCACTCCTGGACAGTTAAGTTGCTTTCATTCGCAGGGAAGGTACGTCTTATTGCCTCAGTGATATATGGAATGGTAAATTTCTGGAGTGCTGTCTTTGTTCTTCCAAAATCTTTCTATGAGAAAGTTGATTCTCTATGTGCTGCATTTCTATGGAAGAACAAAACGGGCTCTGCAGCAGGGGCTCGAGTGGCTTGGAAAGATGTTTGTAAGCCAAAATCGGAAGGTGGTTTGGGTATTCGCTTACTGGAAGAGTTTGAGATGGTGTTCAGGCTGAAACAAATCTGGAATTTTTTCTCTAATGCTGGCTCGCTTTGGGTTGCTTGGCTAAAAAAGAATGTATTTGGGAGATGTAGTTTTTGGCTTATGGAGGAGAGTTACAGACTATCTGGAACAGTCAGAAGCATGCTGCAGCTAAGAGACACCCTTCAGGATTTTCTAAGGTGTGACATACGGAATGGGTTATCTGGCTCCTTCTGGTTTGATGCTTGGACCGAATTTGGACCGTTAATTCAGTATATCGGCCAGTCAGGACCTCGTTCCATGCGAATTCAAAAAGATGCTACTGTCATTGAGGCTACAAGAAATGGAGATTGGTTCATGCCTGCCGCAAGATCGCAACGGATGGAGACTCTCCAGTTGGCTCTTACGGCCATATCTCCTCCTCACTTTTCAAAAGGCGCGGACATATATCTCTGGAAAAAAACAAACACTACGTTTGGTACCAGCTTCTCATCCAAGGCAACTTGGGAATTCATTCGGGATCACTCTCCAATGGTCTTCTGGCACAAGACTATTTGGTTCAAGGAACATATCCCTCGCAATGCGTTTATATCATGGCTGGCTCTACGGAGAAGACTGCCAACAAAGGATCGCCTCAGGAGTTGGGGTTTGAATGTCTCAGGAACGTGCGTCCTGTGTAATTTGGGAATAGAGACTCACCATCATCTCTTCTTTGAGTGCTCTTTCTCTCGCAGGATATGGGAGCCGTTTGCTGCTAATGTTTGGAGTTCTCCTCCTTCTGATCTACATTCTGCTGCAGCGTGGATAAATCAACCTCGTCGCAATTCTCATGGCCATGCCGCTCCTGTAATCAAGTTATTCTTCCAGTCAGCCATCTACTTGCTGTGGCGAGAGCGTAATGCTCGTGTATTCACAGGTATCTCCTCACCTCCATCAGTCATCCAAGCCTCCCTAGACCGATTGATGCGTGACCGCCTCCTCTCTTACCCAGCAAGCTCTTCCTCCTCCTCTCTGCTTCTTTTCTATCTCTCTTGTATAAGGCCTCCTTGAGGTTCTTTTGTCTTTGTTCCTTGAGTTGTTGTGGTTGTTTTGTTTCAGTATTGTAATAAGTTGTTTAACAACAACATTGTAATCGTTTCAGAAAATGGTAATCTTAACATCTTACCAAAAAAAAAAAAAAAAAAAAAAAAAAAAAAAAAAACCCTAATTGATCAAAATGCGATTCCGGTTATGATTATTTTGGATTAAATATGGGTTTAGATCCGTGGGAGCATGTGGTGGGAATGGGACTGGGTGCTGTGTTCGCCAACCAGCTTGTGAAATGGGATGTGAAGCTTAAGGAAGATCTCGAGGTCATGCTCGATAAGGCTAGAGCTGCTAACGAGCGCCGTTACTTTGGTATTCTTTTTATTTAAGTTCTTTGTCTTTGTTTTTATGGTTTGCTTTGCAAATCGGCTTAGTATTTGAGCAGTCAAATTTTTTTTTTTTGTTTACAAGCTCTTAATAAGAGTGAAAAGATTGGTACTTTTGATTTTTTTAGAGTTGGATAGGCTGTAATTTGCAAGTAATACTACTGCAATATGGGATACATAAGAAACTAGATTTGAATTTGGATCATTGTTGTCTTTATGTAAATGTGTGATTTTGTTCGCTGCGTGGAAGTTTATGTTTAGCAATGGAAATTTTTTCACTAAGTCATAACAAAACGTTGGAGATATGTTAAATTCAAGGACTTTCTTGTTTAGTTTCATGTCAAAATCTCTACCTGTTGCATTATGTTTCTTGGCTTGTTGGGTTTGAATAGGTTGCTTTGTTGATATATTGACCTTTACTTATGTTACTTAGAATACTCAAACTTTTTTGTTTTTGTTGTAATGCAGATGAAGATCGGGATTAGTAACTGAGTGATCTTTGGAGTCTTCAGAAAAGAAATATATTTCTCTGAAGTCATCTCAGTGCTTGTTTTCTTTGATCCTCCCTGTGAAAGCTTTTTTTTCTTCTTAGAGCTGGTTCTTTTGCTTTGGCACTGGAGCTCTTTCAATTCAGTGTTTCTGGTTAAAAAACCTAAAGATTTGTATTCTTCAGTCTGAATCTGTTTGTATCTGGCTAATAATTTTGAATGAGAAACTTTTCCATGATTATACTGTTCAAGACTTCATCTTCTTTTGATCGATTGGAATTTTTTTTAAAAAAGCTCAGGTTTATAATTTGACTAAAGTTGCATCGGAAAACATTACACTTGCTAGTAATCCGATACATATATTCGAATGCAGAAATTTCAGAACAAATTTCAGGTTTGCAGTTTCATGTCTTCTTATAAGATGGTCTCTTTTGGGGAGAATTTTGTGCAATCTGTGATACAATCTGAATTTTGTACA